TCTGCTCGGTTTTTCAGTTTGTCTGCATATGTTTTTGATATTGACTATTATCATATTGCTTTTCTAGCAGATGCCCTGCTTCTTCAGAGTCAGTAATTTGATCACATTTAGTCAAATCTTACCCAGGTTTTTTTTTTTTTCAAATGCAACTTGACAGTTTTAGCAGTATAGTAGACATAGTTAATCATAATGGTAAATTTTGAGAATGGACTCAAGAAAAACATCCTAGAAGTGAAACTTTCTAGGCTGTTGGCTGTTCAAGGTTAGTGTTTATTAAACTTAGTTTGTGTCTGTAGTTATGCAGTATGGATCCACTGTATAGCAAATGCCTGTCTAGGTTCGTTTGGATAGTTACTTGCTTTTGTATTAGTGCTTGCATGGTGGTCTTCAGATGTCTGACTGAAACATTAATTTTGTTGTTGTTGTTATGCAGCGCAATTTTGAACAATGTAATGATTTAATCGCTCGTCTTGAGTAGATGCTAATTTCCTTTTATACCTGTTTTGATGAATAGCAGCACATTAGTGTTTCTCATAGCATGTGGCAAACTTACTTCTTTCCTCTGATTATCTCTAGAGCATTGGACAGACCTACGCAAAATGCATCTTGCTCTTCTTGGTACAGTTGTATGTCCAGCTGCCTTCCTTTTCTTCTCTCTAGGCCTCTCTTCCCACCCTCCCCAAAGCCTCTCGATACTCTCTTGCACCCTGGCTTTTTACATCTTCTCTTTGTTGACTCTTTTCACATACTCAGTCTCTTCTTACTGGCTGTTGTCATCTGGGAATCACCACTCTCTTCTTTGGTCTTTGCTTCTGTAGATGGAGACTGCTTTTTTGGAAGTTTGGGAGAGAACAATAAAATACAGAGCAAGGAGTCTGGTCTTTGAGCCAACAGTATGACTGAGGTAGCAGTTCATGTGGCCACTACGCTTCCAAATAATTTCTAATACTGCTTTGTCAAAATTGTAGCTTTGGGAAGTTTACTGTGGAAGCATATGCAGTTAAAGCAGAAATCTGAGATCCATTGGCTTTGTGTGTCTTTGTTCTGTGCTGTTGTAACTGATCAACCGGCACGATGAGCTAATTTTTAGTATCCTATAAAATCCTTCAGGGAGCAAATTACTGCAGGGTTTTTTTTAATGCATTTTACTGTGCAGTAATGATGAGGATAGATAGCAGGTGATTGAATTTGAAAAATTAGTGAATAAATATACAAGAAAGATAATTCATTATTTTTTACTTTTTAATTGGCAGTGTTTTTAAATGGTTAATTAGATCCATTTATGCGTGCAATTATTCAACTTGTGTTAGCTTACATACGCTATGACAAAAATAATGACGTCTGAATAAAGACCCAGCTTCAGTCTTCCTGAAATGAGAATTGTTCTGTGGTGGGGGACATCAAGAACTGGAGTATGCAAATTAGCATAGATGCACTTTAATTTTGAACCTTGGACCAAATGTCATGACATGAAGGACCTCTAATTGTGACTCTTCTAATTCATGTTGTCTTAGGCATGCTCATTTTAGCCTCCTGTCTCCATCTGCTTGTAGTCTTTCTTGATAAGCGGTCACAGAGGTAAAGAAGGCTTTTATATGCAGTCGTCTTACCTAGCATATATTTGTCTAAATAGCGTGCTCTGAAATTGAACTTGAGTGCCTCAAGGAGATTCCTCCGAAGTTTAATTGTCTTGTGTTTTAAATGGGTTGTTTCTCTGTCATACTGTATCAGAGGTTTGATGAAGTGGTGTAAACGGTTGTTTACAAGAAGTTTTTGGAATAGCAACTAGGAAACACCAGGTGGCCGAACTTGAAGGAAGGAGGCTTCTTCCAAAAATAATTGGGCCTTTATGGAGGCTGGAGGATGATAGTTTGGGAGCTGTGATAGCCACAAAGTAGGCGTTAATGGTAGGTAGTTCCTGCCTCTCTCTGGCAATTTGCCGCAATTTCCATGCAGCTTACTGGAGCTAAATTATCCTCGGTCTCTTCCCGAAAGTGCTAAAAACATGTTTTCTGAGGTCATGCTTTGTTATAGTAAAGCCATTGGAAGAACAGTAACTGAGTTTTGGTCAGAACATGGCTATGCTTTCTTATGGGTGAGGCAATGGTGTGACTTACTCGATGCTTGCAAGCCCTTGTAAGCATCATATCAACAGAGTACGTAAGTTTGTGCATGTGACTTCATTTAAACTTGTTACTCTCGGGATAGACAATAATGAAATTAATGTGGCAGTTACTGGTACACGTCTCTGACAACTGGTGTTGGAATTACAGTTGTCAATCACCTTTATCCAGATGTTACTCTTTCCCCACTTACTTTCTTGCTTCATTTGAGTAACTTCAGAATGTACTTGTGCTCCTTTGTGCCCCCTAAAATGTGAAGGAATATGTTCACTAGGTCAAAAGACAAAGGGAACAAAAAATACCCCTTGCAGAACACAGGTTTAGTATTCTTAGTATTTTCTATCTTTGGTAACAGCTTCTTGCTTGGGCAAATCTACTTCCAATCTTAGCTAAGTTACTCTGAGAATGCATTGAGTGATCTGAATTTTTTTTCTTGATGTCTTTTACTGTGATATTTTCTGTTCTTTGTTTTGTAATTTCTCTATCTAGAGCCTCCATCATAAATGGCTCAGAGAAGATGCCCATTCTTTTGTTTTCCTTGTTTTCTCATTGTTCTTGGACAAGGTACCTTTCAAGGAAGTAGAAACTATCTCTCCTGGTACATTATGGCAGTTTCTGTTTGTGTTGCTGTCTATTTGATTGCACAGTAGTTCAGACACACACCCACACCCCCACACACACCTCCGCCAACCCCCATTAGGTTTCAGGAACTCTGTTGCAGAAGACCAATTCAGGTCTAGTAAGAAAGTGAAAGCTCTCTGAAATGCTTGGGATGTATGTGAGTAGAATCAAATTTCTTGATGGAAATGAATGTCTTAAGTTTGCCAACATGAAGGAAATAAGCTAGTTCTTGTTTCAAATGCATGTAGGCTTCTCCAGAAGGAGCCTGCTGTCTACTGCTTTTTTTTTTTTTAAACTCATATCAACTGACATCAACTAACTGACATTAGATGCAACTCATGGATGTGTTTGCATTCGGATAATACTGACTTCTGTTTCTCTCCTTCCCGTGATGTTCTGCAAAATCGGCAATGGCAAAGCTTTTGCTGTAACAACTGCTTCAGATAAGTTGTCCCTCATGCAAATAGTTCTCTTCAGAGAATGGGTGTCTGGGTTTCAGTATTTTATCTGCTTACGTTTCTGGTGATGCTGTTACTGATGTTGCGGTATGTAAAATATTTATACTACTTGGTAGTTCCTACAGCCTGAAAGGTAGCTAGCTTTTTTTTTTCTTCCTAATTATATGAAGAATATGCTTTTGATGAGAGCATAAAGCATTAAGAACCCCTTACCTATTTTCCAGAAGTTATCTTGGCCATTTCTCTCTCCCTCTCTCTCTCTCCCCCCACCACCACCTTGGGCACTGCCTTTATATCCAGACTGCTTTCATTGTTGCTATCAGAAAAAATGCTGTTGAGCCTCATCTTCCTAATGATGGCTTGACCCAGGGTCTGAAGGAAGTCTCTTTAGGTTGGTATCTGCTTTCTACTTGTTTGATTAGTTCTCTGGTACCTTCAAACCTTAAAAATTCATTCTAATTTTTCTAGATACTGTAGGAATCTTAAAATCTGGGGATGGAACTGGGAAATGTCTGGTGTATCTGCAAGCTAAAAGTTTGGCTACAGGGTAAAAGCTTGAGAGGTGTTCTTTTGGAGGACATAAGAAAAATGAAGGATGCAATCAAGACTGTGTGTTCTTTAAATCAGCATGTTTTGCCTCACCAGGTGATGTCTTATGCTTCAGAATACTGAGAGGTTTATTCTTCTGTTTTATATTACAGGAGTCAAAACTTAGACAAGTGTAACAATTTTTTAAATTTTACTATTAAGATGCTTCAGTAGCATAGCATTATGCCTTTTTTGGTATCAAGAATACCACTTGTTACTGTCTTTCAGGTTGCTGTGGAGTTTTAGTGTTGGTGTCTTGTGTTTTGGAATAAAGTGTAGCTAAATATACTTCTCAGTTTAAGCAGTCCCAAACTTCTTGTATTTTCTTGAGCTTTATCAGCTGTTTTCATCATAACAATATTAACTCAGTTTAATCCCCTCATCCCCCAACTTTGGCTGCTGCTTAGAATCTCCATGTTTTGTTACAGATTCCTATTATATCTATTTATGGGAGGTACAGACCTCAATGCTAACTGAACCCATTTGCTATGCGTTTCCTGTTCACACACATTATTTTCATACATAGTTTCAAATGCTTAGACTGAATTTAAAAAGTGGCCTTGCCATCCCTGTTGACTGTCCTAATACCAGCTCCCACTGCCACGGATTAATACGTATTTTTTGTAAGACGCATTAGAATTCAGACAGGAGTGAGAGGGAAGCTTCATTTGAAATTCTTAGAATGAAAGGACAAACTTTTTGCTTTATGTTGAAAACAAATGGCAGGTGTTTTATTCAAACTAGAAATTCTTGATTGTATTAGCTGAAAGCTACAACTTTGTGAAGTTGTAACTTGGTTGAACATGAGTGGACTTGTGATGGTACTTGAACTACAAAACAAGTTCCAAGATTTTGACAGCATTGTATGCATGAATGAGAATTTCCAATGGTGCTTTGCTTCTGTATAATTCTGCAATAGGTTAGTAGGTGCTTGCTGATACTAAACCAACAGTTTAATGCTGAATGTCAATTACCTAGTCTTTAAAGAGCAAGCACTGTGCTAAACTAAAAAAATAGCTTCGTGTGTTTTGCCAGGAAATTTCTTAGAGCACGCTGTAATTGTTTTGGATTTACATTATAATTAAATGTAGAATAACAAGGAGGTAGATGTCTTTTCACTACTGCTATAGGGGATGCTTACTAAATATCTCTGTTTGGTTAACACTCATTGAAGTATCACTTTCACATATGGAAATTTCTCTCTTCTTAGCTTTAGACTGTAAGCAAAAGAAGTCAAGGTCAAGATCTGGAAGCAAGAAAAAAATGCTGCCATTACCTCATAGTGCTGATGAAGTTTACATACTCAGATGCAGGTACATAGGGTTATTTTAATTGAAAGAACACATTCTTAAGAGCTTGCTAATTTTATTCATAAGAAGATTTAAGATTGTATCCTGTAAACGTGTTTGTGGTTAAATTGAATAATAAGGGGGGAAGCAGTTGCTTATTTTCATTAATTTGAACAAGAAGACTTGACTCAATCATACTCAGGTATCAGGTTGCCAACTGTTTCTCTAGCTAAAATCTTACTGGTCATGTCTGAGTAATATTCTGTCCTTCAAAAGAAACCTTAAGTAAGAACAACAGATTGTTATTGGTAGTGTTAAAAAAGTAAGAGTGTAAGTTGTATGAACTGCAGTTCTTTTGTGCTCACAGTTACTATAAATGAACGCAATTACTAAGGTTTTCAGCTAAAATATGTAGAAACAAAATTCAAGAAAATTAAGACTTTCCACTTAATGTCTTTATTTTATAATTTTTCAGTAGAGCTAGATATATCTTGATGGAATAATTTTAATATTTGCATAGGTTTTGTGGTCTGGTCTTTCGAGGACCTTTGTCTGTTCAAGAAGACTGGATAAAGCACTTGCAGCGACACATTGTCAACGCAAATCTTCCACGGACTGGAGCTGGCATGGTTGAAGTCACATCACTACTTAAAAAGCCTGCTTCAATTACTGAAACTTCATTTTCTTTACTGATGGCAGAAGCAGCATCATAGAACAAGGAAACATTTTAAATTTTAATTGGATGTAAATTTGAAATACTTTGTCATTTTTTAAAATAAATTGCTACACTAAATTATGTTTATAAATGCTAAAGACAAAAATAGAGGAAGTGGATTACAGTAACATCAAAATAAATTGAATACTTAACAGTTACAGTAAGTAGTCTTTATATTTTATATAGGGTGGAAGATGTGTTTTTAAGGTTTATTATGTTTTTGTCAGTTACTGTGTTCACTATCAATACAAGACCATTACATGTATGGCAGCCATTTTTAAATTGTTGCACATGGGTACTTAAAAGACAGATTTTAATAAAACAAAGAAACCATGTTCTCTTCAGTGTTACCCAAATCAAGGCTCTGTTTATTCCAAAAAGAATTACATAGTAAAATAAGATATTATTATATTTTGTTTGTATGTATGTAGTGTTTTGTATAATACCAAGAACTGCTAATACAATTTACTCAACTTAGGGCATTAAATATCATGTACTTCATAGTTCAAGAGACTGTTTCATTCAAATAGGGCAATTAGTACTATTCTATCTAGGTGTGTAAGTGTTTTTTTTAAATCACATGAGGCTTTTTGTACTAAAAAGTGGAGGGAAACTTGTTTAAACAAATTTCTAAGAGAAATATGTACATAATACTGGAAATTTGTGGTAAGGAAATATTCTTTACTTCAGTTGCATTTCTCACTGACAATAAAGTGGTGCATCCATGCTACCTCCTACTTGTCAACAAAGATGGTATTTACCCTTATGTTTTTGTATCATAGTAGATTCAATCCAACTTTCTTTATTACAAAGCATCTTTTTGTTAACAAGTTTGTTTCTTTATGATGATTTACTTAAAGTCTGACTTGCTTACAGAAGTTTGCCTCTCTACTATTTTATTTAACACTGTAGAAATGTACTAATAAGCATTGCTCACTACACGGTTAGAGTAGACTTTTCATTTATAATTCTGTTTAAAAGATTGATCATTTTAGAAAATTCGAACACAGATTGAAATGTTTCTACATATGAAGAGAATGTTTACAACTTCAATTTTAGAGCTTGTTTTGGACGTGATTATATGTATGAAAACTGTAACACTATGCTCATGCTAAGGACCTACTTACAGAATTACTGAAATAAATGTGCTGTGAGGATGGAAATATGGTGCAGGTGTCTTGGTCATGATGAATTGTGTTTGTTCATTTAAACTGTCTTCAGAACATGATTTTTGTTTAAATCAAATCAGATTCCTCTGCAAATCAATTTTGTATGCAAGTAACATTTCATTTTACTCATGTAGGGTAACAGATACTGTAGTTAAGCCAAGGATATGCATTGATATTTTCTTTATATGTAAATAAAGTTAAAAGCAGTTAAAACAAGAGGAGTATTTTGGTAGAGTATATACATACCTCACTGCCAGTGAAATTGCTTTCCTATGGTATATCTCCTTACCAGAAAAATCTCTAAATAAAAAGGTTTAAAGAAAATCTAAATGTCTATAATGTGAAGCATTTATTTGCATTGTGTGAATTAAGTTTGTGAAATTGATTTGTCTTGCTTGGGATTAGAATCTTCTCATGATCTTAAGTAAAAGTACATTTACTTGCAATAAACTGACTTGTTCACAGACGCATTACATTTGATTGGTGGAAAATACGGATAAATGTCTGTCTTCCTCTATGTGCGCAGTTCAGAGTTAACACACGAGGCTTGTTAACGTTCCGATAAAATAGATGGGTCAAAAACGCACAGGACAGAGTCCTGAGAGAAGGCCATCCTAGCTCTGTCAAGGCTATCGTTAAATTAGTGCTATCGCTACAGATAACTTTAGCTTTATTTTCAAAATTTATTCCCTTTTTTTTTTTTAACGGACAAATCTACATCAGTGCATTTAAAGGCTGGAGGAGAAAAAATAGAGATTTTGGGAAAGGGAACTGGGATGTTGAAGTGTATTGCAGACAAATTATGTGTATGCAGACTAACAAATTTCTAAATTTGTGGATGATTGTGGGATTTTTTTATACGCTGTGAAAATGGAAGATTTACAACAATGTGTTGAAACAGAATAGAGGGAAGTGATCAAATCACCTTGAATGTTTATAATGCTTTAATAGAGTGCTTGTTTACCCTTCTCACCAAAAAAAGGTGCTTGTGAGAGCACCATATTTTGTGGCTGTTTAACAGATGAAGAAATCAATTAAGTGCAAATGATATTTATCTAGTATTGTTAAGAATGCTTGTAAGGTGAAGCCATACCGTGTGGAATTTAGCAGTAGCAAAAAAAACTCTATTAGGTTCATCATAATAAAAAACCCTAGTTAATTCTGTTTAATTCATGAAACCCCAATAGCGAGCTGCTTTGTGTAACACTAAAATGCAAGGCTGTGTCTGAAGAGCAGGGAGCTCTGGGCCCGATTAGTTTCCGCAATAAGATTCTTTCGATGAGGAGCAGCCGGTTTCAGTGGCAGGCTTTCTGAGGGGGTGCACTGGAGCCGTGTGCCCTGCTTGCATCGGATCCTTGACGGTGTAGTTTGAAATATATGCAGAAGTTCTAGAACTCTTCTGAAAATGTTAAATCAATTGCATATATGGTTGATACGGACTGAATGATATTTTTTTTTTTTTAATAATAATAATAGAGTACCCTTAAGCTTTCTTTAGCCTCTAGTCCTCAAGTGGGGCTATTTGTTTTCTTGGTTTCTGTTGTTTGGAAATACAGATCTTCTGTCACTACCTACAAGGAGGTAGAAATCCCCCTTTCCAGAGTTACAGAGATTCTAAGTAATCTGGTGGTAGAAGAGAGTTAATTAAATCAGTCACTTTATTATATGAATCTCATGTTTTGAGATGTGTGGCTTTGTGAGGCTCTACGGCAGCCTGGGCTAAAGAGCTGGACTTCCAGAATTGCACATACAAACTCGAGTGTTAGACTGTTCACGTTGGCTAGATTGCTTCGGGCTAAAGGCTGCGGTGGCATAGTGATTTTTGTTTGGTTGCCTTTGGTTCTTTATCGCAGTCTTACATGTTTCTGGAGTTACCCTAGTTTCTGGTAAAGCGCTCTCAAGTAGTAGCTTCTGGAAAATTACGAAGGAATTTTCAGAATGCTTAGAGAAGCCTGGGAAACTGTAGAAGAGCACCCCCCACGTTTTGTAAGATGATTGCCTATATCCCCTAGTCCCAGTGATATTTCCAAATCATCTTAAAAAAATTAAAACTCCTGTTTGCATTGCTTGAAAAGAGGTTTCTGCTGGAAAGGCGATTTTAAAGCGCCTGCCGCTGCCAAGCGGTCGTGTGTTCAGGCTGTATGCGTGGAGAATGGGAGGTGGAGGCAAGTGGATAACAAACGTTGGCTCACAGAGATCCCTGGGCATTTACTCCTGTTTGCCGTATACTGCTGCACATGGATTGCGTGAGTTGTATTAGGTGGACCGCTCCCGCAAGCCGAGGCGGTCCGGCTCTGCCCGCAGATCCACTTCTGCTTCCTCAGGGCTCACCTTACCCAGCCAGCGGTGTCGGGAAACGAGCTGCTGACTCTCCTGGATGGGAGAAAAGGCACAGACCAGACAATAGCTAACACGAGCCGCTGGGGAGGGTGGGCAAGCGCCTGAGGTGCCAAAGATGGGGATTGTAACAGTTGGGGTTTATGTCCTGGGCCAGACTTTTTGTGTTTGAGCTACGTGCCTGCTCAAAGTCCTACCTTTTCAGCCACGCTCAGGGAAATCACCAAGGTCTTTGAGGTAAGTGGATCACAGGAGGAATGCGAGTCGTGAATTGGGGCTCGGAGAAGTGCGTCCCTCCAGAGTTTCGAAAGGTCAGCGTCACGGGACTGAGGCGGGGAGATCTGGTCCTGCAAAGCTATTTTGACAGCAATGCTTTTTCTGGGCTAGTTGTGGTTCTAGATTATCCTGCATGTCAACAGTGCTTTAAAGAGGGGCCCCCCAATAAAACCTTCTACCTGATTCTGAAAACCTACAGAAGATAAATGTTGGATGAACAAATGTGGAAAAATTAACAGCAAATAACAAGTACTTGCTTTTAACTAAATGGTCAGGGCTGTGAAAGAAGCCTGTTTAGTTGAGCACTATGGTTAGCAGACTTTTCCACTTTTTATCACAGTAGTTAATGGCCTGGGTACTTAAACACCACTTTCACATTCAAAAAAAATTGGTTTATATAGTTTTGACTTTGTTTTTAAAAAAATCTTTTTAGGGTGGTACTTCTTTAAAAAAGCTGACTGCATTATGATTTCAGATATTTTCAATCCACCATGCTTTGTAGGTGCTGTCGCCTGATACATGGGTAGCGATTTTGATGTAATGGAAACATTTTGGCCATAGTGCCAGGTCTGTAATCTCTTGCAATAAAATGTTCCTTTTTAACACTGCAGGTTTCTTGGTGTTCTTCCCGTTGTTCGGAGGTGGGCTGCATGGCGTGCGTCGCTTAAACCGGGGACTTCCACCCTAACCTGAACAGTTGCATGGTGAGGCAAAGAGGGTGGTTTTTCTGGCTGTATCCTTCCGAAAATTCAGAGGTGAGGCAGGGAGAGGGTATTTACGTTCCAGTATCGGAGACCAAGAATGAGGATTGGTGGTGGAAGGAACATCGCCACGGCCAGGGGCCCAAACCTGAAGCCGAATCACAAACAACGGCTCTCATCTGCGCGTATCCTCCCGCTTCTCGCTCTGCACAATCTGGTTTTGCTGATGCCTTCTTTCCCAGTTAGAAGCAGTCTTTCCCTGCGGCACCAGCTGCGCAGTGGCTTCCACATGTACCTGGGCGCAGAGTACTCTGAAAAACCCAGTCTGCCTGGCGCTCTGCAATTCCCCAGTCTCCCGCTGCAGCATGGAAGAATTCATTGCCATACCACAGCCATACACACACACACAGAGTAAGAAGAAAAATGCAGAGGTTGATGAAATTTAGCAGAAAAGAGCGTTAGGGTTTTTGTTTGTTTTAAACAAGGGCTGGAGTGGGGGATCCCTCCACACGGCTTTGCTAGACTTGGTAACTCTGGCACTGCTCATTCTCATTTCTAGTTGCGCTATAGGCTGATAAACTTGTATTTAAAAAAACAAAACAAGAAATCCCTTCAACTTTAGTGCCCTATTCCCCTATTAAGATTTGAACATAGGTCAGCTAACAGCCTTTTTATAAAACTTCTTAGTAATACTCAAGTGCATAAAGTAGAAAAACCTGGTGCTCCAAGTAGCTGGTGTCTGGCAGCAGCGGTGTGGCTGCAGTGCTTTTCCGTCGGGGAGGCGATTCTGGCTGCCTTAGCTCACGTGCAGGTAGCTCCAGCGTGCCAGAACGGCGTCGCTGGTTACGAAGATGGTTTGCACGTGTTGCCTGAAGACTGACGTGCTGTTATGTTGGCTAGAAAGAAAAATTGGAATAAATGCATCCCTGTAGGGATGCTCTTCTCTAGGTGGAAGCAAAGATTGTTATAAAAGCCCTGAAAGACCTTTCTTGTGCGGGCTCTGCACACTTTTTTACCACAATTAAAACCCAAGCAAATAGCACCCTTGATAACTGTGAGCCCAGAGACCTCAAAATTAGAATTCTTACTGTCCAGTGGGGGAATGAAGGGAGCCCTGGAGCCTTCTCACAGCTTCCGAAGTGTTTGTACTATATATGTTGTATAAATCGCAACACTCTTGAGCTTTCTATCCTACTTTTTAACTTAAAAGTACACTTAACTCGAAAGAGCTGAGGCTTATGTACCAAGTGATGATGATAATCCCTCTGCTTTTGTATCAGAGACCTGCAACATGAAACATGCTTACATGACACTTATGGTGAGTGTTCCTAAATACTTTTTCCGACCACTTTTAAAAAATCTGTTTATTGGAAACTCTGGAAACTTCATATGTTTAAACATTTGATTATGTATCTTTAAGCCGGCAGCAGCTGTGAATCATGTTTGTAGCTCTCTGTGAAACTCAGCCAAATCCATCCTCACTGCTGCAGCAACAAATGCTGAAGCTCTGAATCCCATTGTGCTCTTTGAAACCGCTTCAGAAAAGAAGTGACTGATAAAGCAGAATGCAAGCTAACGCCGTTAACCTGTGTTTTAACCAAATAAGGAATCGTGTGTCACCCAGGTACAAGTCTTGCTGACAAGAAATAATTCTTTCATCTGTCTCTTCCCTGAAAAAAACAATTGTGTGAAAGTAGGAGAAAGAAAATGGCCTTATTTGGATAAAGCAGCAGGGGGGGGAAATCTTTTAAAAACAAACAAACAAACAAGAACCCCATAGGTTGAAACAGAAACTGCAAACAGGGGGAGACAGTATAAGCCTGAGGTTGACACTTGTTTCGTAGTCTCTGGAATCCAGCTGATGGCTGCATTTGCCGTGCCTCCAAATCTTCAGGGGTGGGTTTGGGCTCCTGGCGGAGAGGAGGCTAGGGCAAATATTGTCCTTAGCTGAACAGCCAAGGAGTAAGTTTTAACCCCGAGCTGTTAAGGAAATAGGCAGTAACAGGGAAAAGAGGTTTTA